AGACGGAGGAAAGCAGCCAAATTCCATTCACACTTAGAACAAAATTTTGCCAATGAAAACTGAAACACCTGTATGAATTAGCTAAATTGTTCTCATTTTCAACAATGAAAGGAAATTAAAAACACTACTACACATCACTGGCTTGGCTCATCTGAAAGGAAATAACACAGATACCACAGCTAATTATAAATTACATGGCCAATACAATATAACTCATTCTCTAGGAACAGTATGGTTCCTTTGTATTTCTTATAACTCGGTTTTCCTGAAACGTGCAGATATAATCTCTCAAGAATAGTACCACATACTGACAACCTTAAATGAGTGAAGCTATTTCATTAAGACTTTACCGAAGTAAAACATTTTCCCAATACATCTCTTGTATATATCTACATCCTGCAATAACATGAAAATACTAGCCAAAATTTCTCTAAGAGAGTTCACAATTATTTTATTAAACTTTAGGGAAGTTCATTAAAATTGAACAAAATTCAGGATCAGTACGTCACCCATTTGTTTACTCAATAAGGATACCAAATGCCAAATATCCATAGTACCTGACTCCTCCAGGTTTACAGTTTTGTGGATATTACGACTTAGTATTTGCTGTTTCATCATAGAGAAAGACACCTAGCTCACAGCTCCAACAGTTTAGAACCCCAGTTTGTGGTTGCCAAGCTGCTACCACAGCAGGGAAGTGAACACCCAGCAGGATTTCTTCCCTGTCCTTTATCATATTGATGGCCAATTCCAAATAGGTATTTATCTGTTGAAGCTGCTCAGAAATTAGAATGGTCTGGGACAAACTAAGGACCAAACAGCCTTAGTGTTCATCACTAAATGTGCAGCATACCAGCTTCTGCCTACTGCAGAGCACTTCTGCGCACACTCTGCAATCTGATCCTCAAAACCAAAGGTTGGTGCTGAGGGAGAGACTACCATGCTGCCCTGGTTTACAGAAGAGGACGATGTAAAGTGCCTAAGTGACCAAGCAATCTTACACAATGATGTAGTGTCGCCAAACTACAGAACTAAGTAGAGCAGTGCAGCTATGACAGACAAAAACCAACCCTGTCCTTAGGTTGTAATATACTGCATCTCTTTGCTTATTCTATGTATAGTTTTTGAGCGACAACTAGGAATAAAGTATTCGAGCACTCTACTAGGCCACAGGAAGGACCCAGAAAGAAGAGCTGAGTCTCTAAAGCTAGGAATTTATAATCTGGTGAAGGAAAGACATACACAGGATTATAAGCCAAAAAATGACCCCTGCCAAAAGAGGCACAGCAAAAGTTTTAAGAATTCAGAAGCAGTATAGCACCTAAAAGTGGTCCCTCTTGTCTCAAATAGTCTTGGAGTTTAACAAGATACAGCTCTCAGTATCTGTAGAGCATTGAAATGGTCCAGGGTACCATGAATATATCAAGATCCAAGGATACACAAGCCCCTTATATAAAATGGCACCGTATTTGTTTCCTTTCTTTCTTTTTTTTTTTTTTTTTTTTAAGTCTTTCTGAGACAGGGGCTCATGAACCAGTTTAGGCTGCCGCTGAACTCACTTTGTAGCCCAGGCTGACCTTGAACTTGCAGTGATCCTCCTGTCCCAGGTTGCCAACTGCTGGGCTTATAGGCACACGTCACCACACCCGGCCACAGTATTTACACTTAACCTATGCTCATCTTCTGTACACCATAAATCAAGATTATATGACTTAAAATGCCTATTATGAACTAAGTGCTATATAAATAATTGTTATGCTGTATTGTTTGGAGAATGACAAGCAAAGAAGTCTGTATGTGTTCAATATTTTATAGCATATTGGCAGAACCAATAGGGATATGGAAGGTCAACTATAGAAAATGACCCTCCTCCTCCTCCTCCTCCTCCCCTCCCGCACCCAATCCCCCCCCCCCACTGCTGCTGCTGCTGCTGCCTCCTCCTCCTCCTCCTCCTCCTCCTCCTCCTCCTCCTCCTCCTCTTCTTCTTCTTCTTCTTCTTCTTCTTCTTCTTCTTCTTCTTCTTTTCTCCTTCTCTTCTTCTCCTTCTCCTTCTCTTCCTTCTCCTTCTCCTTTTCCTTCTCCTTCTCCTTCTTCCTTTTTTTGTATTGAGAATCAAACTCTGGACCTTGCATTTGCTTGCATTTGCCAGGCAAGTTATGTCCTGATCTAAAGTTACTTTCTTTATTGAAACCAGGAGCCAGTTCTAATTGACGGCCTTGCCCACTTCAGTATTATGTGCTCCTTTTAAAAGCCCTCCTTACATTTAGAATTTTGCCCTACTTCTTAGAAATTAAAGACTTACTTGAGACTAACAAACTCATCTCTTTAAAAAAGTTAGACCTGGCACTGTGAGTAGCTTTAAAATTAGAAAGCTTTCCACCAAAAATAGATTGCTCCCTCGGTCAGCTGTGACTGGTAGAGAGCTAGAAAAGAGAAAACTGTGCAACAAAAAGCCCTTGGAGTCTGAATTCATGACTTTCGCTGCAAGCTGGGAATGATATTCTCTAACATCAGAAATCACCAGGTAATAATTGCAAAAATACATCATGGTCCAGGGAAATAAGAATAGGTTAAAGAAAAAGGCTTAAAGATACCCTTGCCCACAAGAAGTGCTAAAAAAAGGTAAGTGAATATAAAGTGTTCAAGTGTTTCTTAGGTAACTGTAGATAACATATAGGCCACCATGAACCACTTCTGAGGCCAGCCCCAAGAAGCTGTCAGTGCTGTTCATCCTCCCCACAGCAGACCAGCAGGACACTTCCCATGCACCCAGTCAACATTTACCTCAGTCACCAGAAGAAACTCAAGCCTCCAGGTCTATTTTCCTAGACATTTGTCCTCCTGAAACTCTATACTTCCCTCCACTGACTCGGGCTCACAGCCATCCCACACTGCTTCCCGCCGCTGTGTGCCACTGCGGGAAGATCTGTATTCAGTGTCACTTCCACTGAGATCTGCTCAGGCTATCAGGTCTGAAACAGCACCCAGCCCATTCTTAGCCCCTTACCCTGCTTCCTAGGCAACTCTATTGAATACCCATTTCTCTTTGTGTACTGTGTATTTTGCCCGCAAGAATGAAAATTGGCGTAAACTCTGAAATTGAAAAGACTATCTGACGTATCTCCAATGATCATCACAAAGCCCGCATATATTAGCTTCAGAGCTATTAACTGAACGAATAAATGAAGTGTACATAAGTCTTTTATATGCTTTCAAAATAAATTTTACCACTTTATCTGCCAAATTCCTTTTAGTACATGTAATGAATAAGTAGGGACATTTCTACACAATTACCTAAAACATATGTAATAGAAAGATACACGTCCAAGATTTCTAAGAATACTGAAGTGAGAAAATAAATAGGCACCCAGAGGACTTAGTAACATCTAACCAGTTCCAAGAGGGTGTGCAGGAAACAGCAATTTGCAAAATTTACATTACAGTTCACAAAGCTTTTCTACCATATACAAAATGCTCTCTTTCACCTTAAACAAAAAAACTAAAAAGAAATTAGAATTCTACCTTAATTTCAATGATAATAAAAATGTCTTTGAAAAAAGATACGTTCAATCACTTGTATTCATTAAAGAACATATCAAACCTTTTCTTTTAATCCATAAAACCAAGAAGAGCTAAATAATCTCTCCCTTCTCACCACCATGCCCTGATCTGAGACCAGGCCTTTGCCCCGCGCTGCACTAAGCCACTTCCCGCCCTTTTTATTAGTTTTATTTTGAGAAACAGTGTCACTAAATTGCCAAGGCTGCACTCAAACTAATGATCCTCCAGCCTCAACTTCCCAAACTACTGGCATTATAGTTGTGTGCCACCATGCTCAGCTTACTTTTTGTTCTTGAAAATCTTTCTTTATGGTGGACTTCAAACATCAATTTTTCCATCTTTCCTTTTTACTGCCAACCTTCGCCGATTGTGGTGTTTATTTATAATCTTTATTTTCTTGTACCCTAATTCTCTCTTTATTCTTTTTCTGTAGAATGAGGTGACTATCTGCAGAGTCTGCTGAAACCAGGCTGTACTGCTACATCCCACAAAGAAAGTCTGTCAGATCTCACAGGATCATCTTCATCCACATTTCTCACCCAACTGCTCTACATTGCTGAATGCAGCCCCATGACATCAACACCGTCTTCTCCCCTGATCAACACCATGCCTGCTCTCCTGCTCACATCCCAGCTGTCACCACAACCAAGTAGCTATCAGTCTCATGCATTAGACTATAACGACTGGACGCAATTTAGCTCAGCAGCATAAGCGCCTGCCTTGCAAGCACGGGGTCATGAGTTTGATCCCCAGTACCAAAAACAAAAACAAAACAAAAGAAAGTCAGTTAAGAATTCTTAGCCAGGGATTTAGCTCAGAGGCATAAGCACCTGACTGGCAAGTGCAAGGTCATGAGTTCAATCCCCAGTACCAAAAAAAAAAAACAAGACTGTAGCAACTTTGGCTCTGTCATTTCATTACTATTTTGCTTTTTTGTTTTGTTTTGTTTTGTTTTGTTTTTTTGTTTTTGCTTTTCAGACAGGATCTTGTTACACAGTTCAGGCTGGTCTTGAATTCACTATGTAGCACAGGTTGGCCTCAAACTTGCAGCAATCCTCCTGTCTCAGCCTCTCAAGTGCTGGGGTTATAGGCATGTACCACCACATTCTGCTTTAAATCATTGTTTAAAAATATTTTAAAATATTTATATGCATCTCTTATTTGCAAGATAATAGAATAGGACTTGAGATTTAAAAAATTAACAAAGAAATCGGATCACTGCCTTCATGTCCTATTATCCAAAAAAAAAAAAAAAATGGCGATGCTTAAATCAGCAACAAAAACATGCAGCTTACAAAATGAAAACGATGAGAATTTCTCACTAATTTCCTTAGGTGGCAGAACTTCAACATGAACAATTTGAGGCAGAGGCAAACACCAGAGGATAAATAATTTACAGGGAAAAAGAACAAAATGGAAAGGAAAAAGTCGTTACTCACTGATGTAAATGCCAGCAGCTCCTCTTCAGTTAATTTATGCACTGGGTTATTCTTTTGAAAATTTGTGCTTTGAATTAAAGAAAGAAATGTATTAATTCTAAAATACTGTTCATTATAGCTAATGAAATGAATTTTTTAAAAATAAAAACAAACTGCTACATTTTATATCTGTGACCATTATATACACATGTACAAATGAGTTTGCCAAAGATAAACACAAAAAGTAATAAAATGCTGACAAATGAAATGTGGTTGAAGCACTGAATGCCAATATAACTTATCTTGCTTGCTAAGAAAAAAGAAATTTAGTCTATGCCATTCAGCAAAGAAAATCAAATGCATTCATGTGGCTCCAGCTCCCCTTTATTACATTTATGCTATAAAAATGCATTGCTTAAACAACTAGATAAGTAAAAAATTAGGATGCTGTCAAAGAAGCAAACAACAGGAATTCTGAGATCTTGTTGATGCAATTAGAATTAGCAGAATCATTTTGGAAAACAATTTGGCACTGTCTTGTAAAGTGAAGATTCACAGAGCTTTAACTCAGTAATTCCATCCCAGAATGAGAGCTCAGAGAAATTAACAAATGAGTGACCAAGCACAATACACATAAATATCCATGATGATACTGTGCCTAATAGGAAAGCCTGGAAACAATTCAAATACCCAAAGGAGAATGATAAATTGTGATAGCCATCCAATTAATTGCTACCCTGAAAATTTAATGGCAACTATAGATAACAACATGAATCACAGAAACAAAATAATGAGAGGGAAAAGAGAAAACCATATGTCATAAAATAACACTTTTATAAAGCTCAAAAAAAGGGAAACCAAAGTGGTTATATAAAATGAGACTAGGCAATTATGCGGGGCCAGGAAGAGAGAAGCCAGTTCACTTTTCCCTTGAGTCAGCAGAAGCCCAGCACATTGAGAAGCTAGTCTGAGCTTCCCATAGGTCACACAAACCAGGCGGGGCCCAAAGAGAGAAGCAGGTTTCCTTTCCCGTGAGCCAACCAGTGCATGGGCTGAGAATCAAGAATAGAGACTCCCCTCCCCACATAAGCAACCAACTGGCTCAGAGGACAGGCTGAGTTGATAGCACCTGAGGTACAAAAACAACTAAATGCCTGTATTGTTTGATTGACCTTACAGGACGAAGGCCGGCAGTGCAGGCATCTATGGGGAGGGTGACAGTAGGCACATAGCAAATACGGGGGATTTCCTTCTGTCTTGTTTTTGAAATCCAGTATCGGTCTCGCCATTTTGTTCTGTGCCAATTTACTGTTTTGGTTTATTCAATGCTCTGTTTTGGTTGATTTTATTCTGTTTTGTTTTATTTGATTTTACTATGTCTGAGGGAATGGACACCTATTGTGAAAACAAGATATATTATGGTAGTCTTTGCTGATAACCTACTGTCAAGTTTTGAGGTTCTATGGCACTTTCACTGCTTTGTTTTGATTGCCTTTATTCTGTTTTGTATTGTTGGGGTTTATTCGCTTTATAATAAAAAATTAATTAAATGAGACTAAATTTTTTTAAAGGCAAGAAAACACAAGATTTATGAGAGCATATTCTTTTAAGGAGGCAAAAGAATGAAATAGAGAGAGAGGAAGCACGTGGGTTGGGCGAGGGATTTGTTCTTAAATCATGTGGTGAGTTCCCAGTGTTCATTTTACTGTTACACTGTAAAACTTTTTGTTGCTGTTTCAAACATGTCCCAGGTTGGCCTCAAATTTACTAGGTAGCCCAGGCTTGCCTGGAGTTTGTAATCCTCCTGCCTCAGTCTCCCAGATGCCTGGGATTAGAGACATTCACCACCATGCCTAGCTGCATTATAAAATTTAAATTTATATAGTACATGAATTACTTTGCATGTAAATAGTACACATATCAAGAATGAAAAGAAAATATCACCTCATAAAATACTTCCTTTCAGCTGGGGATTTAACTCAGTGGCATAAATGCCTGCCTGGCAAGCGCAAGGTTAAGAGTTCAATCCCCAGTACCAAAAAAAATATATATACTTCCTTTCAATTTTCAATACTATTTGAGGATTTTATAACATGAAATGTTCTGGATCTCACAAAGTTGAAAAAAAAAAAAACATGAAATGTTTATGCATAACTTTTCAATGAGTCTATTTTTACTGCTAGTAAGAAAAGAAAAAAGAAAAAGAAAAGGAAAGACCAATGAAGCTCGATTTGTTGGTTCAGGTCTATAACCGCAGCACTTTGGGAGGCAGAGACAGGAAGGTTTCAAGTTGGGCTCAGCCTGGACAACTTAGCAACTTAGTAAGTCACTCCCTCAGAACAGGGCTGCGAATGTAGTCACTGCAAAGGCCCTACGTTCCATTCTCAGCACTGGAAACAGTCATTCCAAGATAAGAGAACATTGGGCGGGGCCATAGCTCAGTTGCACAAGTGCCTGCCTGGCAAGCACAAGGTCCTGAGTTCAATTTCTAGTACCAAAAAAAAAAAAACAAAACTCACAAACCAGGTAAGAGATCACCTAAAATACAGCAAAGTTTGTCTCTCATATGAAAATTCCAATTCTATAATGCATTACACATAAAGTTATACACATAAAATGAAATTTCACAGGTTTTATGAAAGAGAACTGGTTGTGTAGTTCAGCTGCAGATCCATGCTTAGCATGCATGAGGGTTCCACTCCCAACAACAACAAGATAAAGGAATGAAGACAAGAAAGAAGAAAGGGAGAAAGAGAATAAGGGAAGAAAGGGGAAGGAGGGAATAATAATTACAACATAGTCACTGAATTGAGTCACTGTTGTTTTGTTTTGTTTTTTTATTGGTACCAGAGATCGAACTCACGACCGCCTGCTTACAAGGCAGGTGCTTATGTCACTGAGCTAAATCCCCAGCCTGAGTCACTGTTATTTAACATAATTTAACATAATGCACTCTTGAAAATCACACTGTTAAAGTAAAACGGAACTACTTTTCCCCATTAAGTCTATCAAGTTACTCACAGGTTGCTGTATTTTAAGGAATTCTTCCCATAATGGTTATATGTAAAAGCATTCAGGTGCACTGAGGAATAAGAGATACTGAGGCAAGTCCCAGTGTTTGGTGTGAGGTAAAAAGCAAATTCAAAGAGGAGGCGGTCTAGGGAAGGAGCAGACCCAGCCCTTGTGTGAGCAGTGTACAGTCTGTGAGAATTCGCCTTCACGTCTCCTTTCCAACAGCCTCACCTGCCACAACATCCAGGTCCCCACCTGGGCTGGTGGCCAGGGGAAGCAGACAGAGATCAGGGATTGTAACAAACTCAAATTTAAAACACCATAATTCCATTCACGCGAATGATCAGTTCATTGATGTTATAACCAAATGTTTATAAAATGCATCAGAAGCGCTCAGATTCAGAAATAAGTAAATAGTTTCTCCTAAATAATTAAGACTTATACTGCCTAGGAAATCCATCGAGCTCTTTCATCTATTATCTATATTAAATATCCACTGAGATCTTATTTGGGGAAAAAATAGTATTTGAAGATAAGCAAATTGTATTCGAAAGTAAGCATTTTCTTGGTTACTCTCTCACCTGTGAAGTTTTACTTACTATTTCTAAAGTTCAACTGACAAAGTGCCTACATTTATTTGGTTGACTTTAATTTCCTGATAAACTGACAATTATGCATTTGTCAAAATAATGTTTTCTAAACAAATTTTTAAAACAGTCATTTCACACACACACACACACCCTTTTTTTTTTTGAGACAGGGTATCATTATAATAGTGTGACTCAGGCTTGTCTCAAATTTACCCAATGGTTTAGGTTAGCTCCAAACTCATGATCCTCCTGCTTCAGCCTCCTGAGTACTAGAATTTTAAGCACTCACTTGTTTCTAATATTATTAAGTTATCTATCCCTAACCAAGAGTAACCAAAGAAATTTTTGTAAGAATGAGTATACCAATTTAGATGATATTCCTAATCTCTAAACCTTTAATGGGCTGCCCAAGAATTCCCTATCTTCAGATGCACTACAAATCCATGTTATCAAGAACTTCTGGGACCTTCTTGAATAAGGATTTCCCCAAACAAGAGAGAACTAGTATGCAACTTACCAGACTCCAAGGATAACAGCAAGCTCTTCAGCACATAGGTCAGGCATCTGAAGCTGTTCACTGTCTGCTAACTTTATCTCATTAAGAACAGTATCATCATTGAGCTCAAGATTCTGGTGGAACAAAAAAGAAAGTATTTAGACCAAAAATTAATTTGATTCACTAAACAGAAATGTATGTCACAGATAGTAGGGATAATACTAACTCAACTTTCTATGTAAGATTTTATAATGTCTACATATGGTGAATAAGCTATTTACATATTTGATGATAATTTACCTTATAGAAATGGAAGATGTACCATTTATACCTCTAAACCACACCAACAATAATAGTAAGAAAGAGTGACACTAACATTGTTTGAGCCTTATATACAAAAACCTCTCTGCTAGTAAATTTACATGTATTTTCCCATTCATTCTCAAAATAACCATGGGTATTTCTATTACTATTTATGGATGAAGTAATAAAAAGTTAAAAAAAAACAATCCAAGGTCACATTCAAAGCATATGGCAGCATCAAATTTCAAAGCCTGGTCTTTCTGCCTTTAAATTCTAATCTAAAATATAAATGTGCTTCAATAATGTAGTGTGACCAGCTGTGACATATTACATAAATCTTTAGTTATTAATAATAGATCAAATTGACAAACTGATTCTGAAATTTGTATAGAAATGCAAGGGATCCAGCACAATTGAAACAATCTGAAAAACAATAAAATCTGAAGATTCAAAGAGTAGTTAAGGGCTGGGGATGTGGCCCAGTACTAAAAGACTTACTTACCTGGCACATATAAGGGGTTTAATCCCCAGGAGCACACACACACACACACACACACACACACACACACACACACACACAAACCAGTAATGATTTCAAGAATTATTACAAAGCCAAGACAATGTGGTACTGGCATAAAACCAAACATATGAAGAAATAGAAAAAACAGTCCAAAATGTAAGACCATAATTTTTCACCAAAAATATCTAGGTGGTTGAATAGGTATAATCTTTTCAATAAATGATACTGAAACAGCTGGATATCCATCTTTATCTCATATCATACTCAAAAATTAAATCAAAATTAATCATAAAACTTCAACATAGAAGCTAAAATTAAAACTAAAAAATAAAACTTCTCAAATAAATCATAAAAGAAAATCTTGACCATCTTGGGATAGGCAAATAGTCCTGAAGACATGCAATAAAAATAAACAATTAAAAAAAAAAAAACAATTAGAGAAAAACTCAATAAACTGGACATTATCAAATTTTGAAGTTGTGCTCTTTGGAAACAATGGTAAGAAAATGAAAAACCAAGCTACAAACTTAAAGAAAATATTCATAAAACTTATCTGAAAAAGGACTTTTACTCAGAATATGGAGAATTCTCGGAATTCAATAATAAAAAGATAAGCAGCCTAATTAAAAATGGACAAAAAGTCAAGTATGGGAGTACATGTGTATAATCCCAGTGCTCAAGAGGCTCAGGCAGAAGATTACTGTGAGTTCAAGGCCAGCCTCAGCTCTAGAGTGAGTTTAGGACCTTCCTGAACTATATAGCAAGACTCCATCTCAAAAAAGAAATATAGGCTAAAAATGGGCAAAATATTTGTATAGGCATAGTCAATGCCCACTTGTAATCCTACTCACTTGGGAAACTGAGGTAGGAGGGTTGCAAATTCAAGGCCAGCCTCGGCAAGATGGCAAAAAATAAAAATAAATAAAATTTGTATAAGCGCTTCATAGAAGAAGATATATAAAGAGGTAATAATCACATAAAAAATTCCTTAATAATACTAAACACGTAAGTACTAATAAACATTAAAATGGCTAAAATTAAAAGACTGACAATACTGTATGTAGGCAAGGATCTGGAACAATTGGAACTTTCATACACTGCTAGTACAAATATAAAAATGACACAATCACAGAAAATAGTTTCCAGTTTCTTTTTTTTTTTTTTTTCTTTTTCCTTTTTATCCGTACCGGGGATCGAACTCACGACTGCCTGCTTGCAAGGCAGGCCCTTATGCCGCTGAGCTAAATCTCCAACCCCCAGTTTCTTATAATATACATTTATCATATAAGCAATGAATTCTACTCCTGAATAATTACTCAAGAGAAATGAAAATACATCCACATAAACATATATATACACAAATATTCATAGTAGTTTTATTTGTAATAGTACAAAACTCAATTCAATATTATTCAGTAGTAAAAATACTACTCAATAATAAAGACTATTCAGTAATATGCACACCACAGATAAATCTCAAAAAAATAGCTGACATATGCAACCACACAGATAAATCTCAAAAAAACATCATGCAAATAAAGAGGCCAGCTATAAAAGAGTACATATTATATCCTTCCATTCACACAAATTCTAGAAAAGGCAAACTACTCATAGTCACAGAAAACAGAAAAAAAGGTTATTCAGAGCCCAAGGAGTAAGAATTAATTGCAATAGGTGCAGAATTGCATTCTCTAGGGTAAAAGAACTTATTTTTACTGTAATGCTTAGGTGTATGTATGTATTGTCAAACTCATTAAACTGTGAAACTAAGATGGCCTAATTTTCTGTAAAATATGCCTCCATAAAAGTGATTTTTAAAAAATGAATCACTATCCAGAGGACACAGGCACAAAAGAAATTAGAAGTCACACATCTGAAATTTCTGAAACAATAGCCACTGGAATAAAGAAACAACTCAGTGCTGATATTGTTTAACTAACTTTTGTATGTCTGTATCTCACCAGGAACAAGTCCAGGAGATACAGACATAGAGGAAATTAGAACCCACACACCTGAAATTTCTGAAATGACAGCAACTGAAGTAAAAAAAAACAACTTGGCGCTTGTGCTTTGCATGCCTGTATCTGGCGGTCTGAGCATCTATTTAGAGGGTAACAATGAGCATTGTAACAATGTACCTATGATTGATTTCCTACTGACTTGTTTAAAATAAATACATAAAAAATAAAAATGAATTTCTAAAGGAAAAAAAGTAAAACCACAGTCATACTCAATAGAACGGTAAAAATTAAAGACTAACAACACCAATTATTGGCAAAATGAAGGGCACCTGGTAGTTTCATACATGGATGGTGGGATTGTAACATTGTACAACTACTTTGGAAAAGCAGTTCTCACAAAGTTAATATGGTGTTTTTGTTTTGGGTGGGGAGTTTCGGTGGGTTTTTTTTTTTGGGGGGGGGGTTGTTTGGTACTGGGAATTGAACTCAGGACCTCATGCTTGCCAGGCAGGTGCTGTGTCACTGAGCTATATCCCTAGCCCTGTCTCATAAAGTTAAAAATATACTTACCACACAACCCAGCCATTCCATTCCTAAGTATTTACACATGAGAATTAAAAATGTTTATTTAAAAGACTCTAATATTCAAGCTTTCCAAGGTGCTCTACTCATAATAACTACTATAACAAAAACAACTCCAAGGTACACCAACAGCTAAATAAATCAATAAAATACTACTCAGCAGCAAACAGGGTTTGTGGGTCATCAATGGTTGGTGGGATGAAACTGGGCAAGATCCTGTGGAATCTACTGGCTCTTCGACAGAGTTCCCAGAGAACCATCAGTACTGCTTCACACAGGCATTTTGAAAATAAAAGTTCCACAGAAAAATTAGCGCCTTCAGGAGGACAATGGAATTCCAGTCCATCTAAAGGGTGGGATAGCTCATACCCTCTTATAGAGAGCCACTACGATTCTTACAGTTGGTGGGACCAACTGTTTGGACTCATAAATGCCAATGCTATGAAGTGCTTATCCAAATTTTATTTATTTTTATTTCTCATGCCATGTATGAGTTGCCTATGGCATCATTTCCCAAGAGGCCAGAATGAGCAATCAAACCAGCAATCACATGGCTCAGTTTCAGTCAGCTCTCTGGACCAGTTACATGATAAATAACTGCCTTCTTCTTTGGAGATCACTATTTATTAACTCAAACTAATTGCCACCAATAAAGCAGTCTTTACCATCAAAAAAATAAAATGATAAACAGACAACTACTGGTTTTATAACATGGATGAATCTCAGAAATATGCTAAGAAGTCAGACACAAAAAAGTACATAATATGATTCCACTTAAATGAAATTCTTTAAAAAGCAGATTTAGTAGGCAATCAGCAAGAGAAAAGTGATTGCAAAGTAATGTTAGAGGGTTTTCTCAATGATTCTACATTATGGTGGTGATTACATAGTTCTATGTATTTTTCAAAAATCATCAAACCGTACATTTAAAATGGTACATTTTAGAATGGGGCATGGTGCACACATCTGTAATTTCAGCACAGATGAGGCTGACTCACAAGAAATGCCACAAGTTTGAGGCCTACCTGGGCTACATAGCAAGTTCAAGATGAGCATAAGCGAGTGTCTCCTGAGATCCATGCCGTGTTGGAACTTAGGACTCTGGGAAGCCAAGCAAGCACCTCCCCTCCCTGGTAAGCGGAGGCAGGGTGGCAGACTGCAGCCCATCCAGGGGGAGAACCAGCAGTGTCTCCTGAGATCCACGCCATGTTGGAACTGAGGACGCTGTGAAAACAAATGACCATCCTGCCCCCCTGCTTAGCAATAGTGAACCTACTCTACACGGCGTAGAGTCAACTATCCCACTTCCCATATCCTCCTTCTCCCCCCTCCCCCGCCCATTAGCAAATGGGAACCAGAAATCTGAGCGTCTCCTGGGAGACTGACCATAGCAAATAAGGGGGACTTCCTTTTACCATTTCTTTGAAGGCAAATATTTTTATTACTGTTTTGCTCTTTTCTGATTAATGGTACTGCTCTATTCAATATTCCTTTTTGATAAGTTCTATAGTGTTCTATATTTCATCTCATTTTGATATATGGGATTGAAAGAACAACTATTATAAAGGTAACAAAATATACTGTGATACCTATTACTGTTATCCCGATAACCTGCTGTGAAGTTCTGTACCAGTCTCACTGTACGATCTTAGTTGGCTTTATTCTGACTTGTTCGGTTGTATACTTTCAAAATTAAAAAAAAAAAAAGATCAGCATAAGCTACACAGAAAGACCTAGTTTCAAAATAAATGAATAAATAAATAAATAAATAAATAAGTAGTTGCATTTTATATAAATTGTTCCTCATAAACCTGCTTTGCAAATAGGGGGAAGGGAATCAGTTCCTCTGCCCAAATCAGGCCCAAGGGGCAGCTTCCTTGGGTAGCTACCCCAACTCTAGACCTACTCTCCATCTACAAGGTTTCAAGAAAAAAGTATTGCAATCCACAACAAGCGCCTAGGGAATCTGTGACTGAAGGAACACAAAACTTAAGGCAACTCCTCAACTCCCAATGTTAAAGTTCCTCCCTGCATGAGCAGTGGCTGGCAGGGCTTACAGGTACACAGCACACCCTGGTGGCCGTCCTTTTTCACTCAGGCCTTTCATTTTTTACACAGAATCACATATATAGTGTAAAATTTTCTGACACAAATAAAATGTTAAAAAAATAAAATGACTACATCAAAAACATTCCTGTTAAGATGTAAAAAAATACTATTAATTAGATACATTATTTTTTCATACAGTCATTACTACAGTGTGTATTTTATACTTAAGGCCCATCTCAGTTTGGACCACGAGCCTGCAAGGCTAATGGCTGCCATGACAGGCGATTGTGGCTCTAGAGTGTCCCTAAACTCCCACCTTTTCAAATTCTTCCAGGGTTGTATCACCTTGCTTCGGTCTACATCCGATGTTTTATAAGACATTTGTAGACTGCCTTTACACATCTGATCGATCTAATCTTTAACAAAGTACAATGTAGGCAAAAACAAATGAAACAACCCCAGGCTTGGCAGAGAGGCTGTGACAGGAGCACATCCTCTCTCCTCCCAACCCAGGACTCCTTCCCTCACAGGGAAGGCCGCAGAAGACCTGTGCTGTGTTAGTGTTAGCCACAGGGAATTATTTACCAGATACAATGAGGCAATCAAAATAGTTTCAATCATCATTCCAGATTCTCTACATTCCTCTTCAACTATTTTTGCAAGTAAAATGCCCTATTACAGTTTCTATTTAGATCCAAGTTGCTAAAAGTTCCCATAGTTAAATATTTCCCTATCTTAGTGCCACGTGGGCCTCAGCATTCTACTGAATCCAGAAATAAGAACACAATCCACCACCAGTATGTCAGACACAGCATATTCAGATTCAGTGTGTACTTGTCAGAAGCAGCTGAATGTATGTATTTCTATTAATATACCCTTTAAATCCTTCTGCCTCCTGCCCATCCAACAGATGAACATTGAAGAGAGACTGTATGTTGGATTTACACAATGGCATTGTTCATAACTTCTGTTTTATTGTGCCTTGCTATCCAATAGCCTTAGGCCATGTAATTCTCCAATAATAACAAAGGAAAGCTCAAAGGAAAAATACTACTGGCAATAAAATTACTGCTATTCATGACTCTACCAGGTATATTCCTACACTGTACATTTTTAATCAGGACATTTTTTTTTTCATGTCAGATGGGTAATGTGCCGAGGTCGTAACAAGGTTGAAAGGAGGCACATATCATGCATAGAGCATGAACACCCAATCATCACGCTTATGAACCTGAGGATCTAATCAGGACATATTTTTGTGACAGTTGGTATGGGACTTTTTGCCCAGAAGAGTAGCTATTAAATATACAGTGAATTTTAAAATCCATTAGAAAAAAGGCAATATAATGTATAAATGGTTTTGCTTTATTTTGGTCTATTTGATGTTTTGGTGGTACCGGGGAATGCAGCCAGACATCAGGCAAGCTAGACAAGACCTCCTCTATTGAGCGTCACCTCAGACTACATTTGATGGGGGACAAGGTCCAATGAAGTTGCCCAGGTTGGATTTCCACTTGCAATCTTCCTGCCTTACCCTCTTGGGTTACTGAGATTACAAGCATGCACCACATTTGGTGATGTATAATTAATTTAACACATGATTCCGTCATCTATTCAGGAGAACAATGTTGTTTCTATCTAATCCAGATCTATACTACACAAGTAATACTTGCCATTAAGTCATTTAACAAAGATTGTAAGATTTCTATTTTACTTCAAATATGAAAGATTGAAGAAATTCTATATTAAATTACATGTATTTTATACATTCCTTACAAGATCATATCACGTTTATCATTACAAAAGACAATTTTCAATAGAACACAGTAAAACAAAAAAAAGTATTACTAAATAAAATGCTTGTTTTCATAGATACTGTGCTATAGCCTAAAAAGCTTATGGCAGTTCACCCAAGGCTTAGAGAGGGAGTTGAGGAGGGTTCCAACACGTAAGGAAGAAATAAAGGATGGAAGCAGGTATCAGCAGCTCTCTGACAGGACGGACCTCCTCTGTGGTGTACACCCTTGTCAGTCATGGCTCTACACTCTTCACATAGTACAGTCTGTGCCTTGTGCGGAGTAGCAAACATGGGCTCCAAAGAGTGAAAGTAAGCAAAGGACAACTAAAAATGTACGTGTGACATCTTGAGAATAAAAAATAGAAATGCTAGTAGCATCCATGGACGCAGCTAGAGAAACATGTAAGAACAGAACCTGATGAGGATTATAAATTCAAACTACAAAAACAGAATTCATCAGACACATCAGAAAACCACACTAAGCTGGCCCTGAATCAAGGCCGGCAGCTTCCTGAGGCTGTTGGTTTCAAGCAGGAGCCTAAAGAGATGTCTTTCTATGGTGTGTTGGCCATTTCAGAACTTGGGCAGGAAATGGTCAATTCATTAGAAAAAAACAGTTTGAAGCACACACACACACACACACACACACACACACACACACACACTCGCCCCGTGAGCAGCTGTGAGCGTGGCAGGCTGTGGCAGCCAGAACGGGAGCCACTGGAGTTTACTGGGACCAGCGCCATGCTGGGACCTGGAGGCCTGGGAAATCAAGCAACCCCTCCACCACCCCACCCACCCACGTGAGTGGCTGTGAGCCTGCCAGCTCCTGGGCTGAGAATTAAACATCACATCTTCCCACCCCACCCCCACCACCACCCCCGTTAGCAAGTGTGATCTGGATATCCCTTGAGAGGCTGACCATAGGCAATATAGCAAATAGGGGGAATTTCCTTCTACCATCTCTTTGAAGACAAATACTTAATCCCTGTTTTGCTTTGTTCTAATTAATGGTGTTATTTTAGCCTGTCTTGTTTTGATGAACTTCAATATACATGAAGGTATGGACAGCTATTTTGAAGAGAACGAGAGACTCTATGACAGCCTTAGTGACTTCCCTAAATGTCAGGTTTTGAAGACCTAAAACACCTTCCTCATTCTGTTCAGATCAGTTTTATACTATGTTGTTTTGTATGAATTCTCTGTATGTGAAGACATGGACAACTATTTGGAAGAAAACAGAGACAATATGATAGATAGTGACGATCTCAGGTCATCTAGCTTTGAAATTTATATCTCTTACATGGCTTTCTTGTGTCCTATTTTGTTCTGTTTTGTTGTGTTTAATTTTACCCCCTTTAAAATAAAAATTAAAAAAAAAAAAAAGAAAACCTAAGGAAGTAACCAACCCCATAATGACAGAGTAACAAAAGGGAGATCATAAAACTGATGAAAGGAACCCTGATCCTTGGTTTACATATTTAGAAGAAACCAAAGGATCTCAAATCTCTGAATACTGGAAAACATCCACAGGAAGCAAAAATACAGTAAAAATATGGTAGCAGCTAGAAAAATCAGTTTTTCCTCAGTCTACCTTTTGTATCTCTTCAAAGGGATAATATATAACTGACTGCATTATTCATTCATATTTATTGAATTCTACAGGAAAAATACAACTTATTTCTTCTTACGGGCAAAAAACTGAAGTCTTCAACACTGTGTTCTCCCAGCTACCTTGAAAAGGCTCAAAAGTGGGCAAAATGAGGTCTCTTCCTGCCCCACTCAGTCCTTCTCCTCTACCCACCCACAATTAGCAGACCTGGGTGTGAACTGAACTACACAACTTACAGCCTGCCTTACCTTGGTTAAACGTTCCTGAGGGGTGGGTGCTGGACTGAACTCACAGTTTGAAAGGCCACCCGCTTCCCTTCTTACATCTAGAATCAGTTGTGCTACATAATTTTCCTGGAATCGTGTTCTTTTTCCTAAAGCACCTGAAAAAATAAAATGAAATTATATATATAGACTTGTCAGTCAGATCTACAGAACAATCACGCAGTATAATGTTTGCTCAATGCTTTAGAGTTGGTTAGATGTTTTCTTAATTTCAGTAAGAGAAACCTAAAGGCCAGTGATATTAAAATGACATTCAACCTACAATAGCACAAGGCCAATAAACCTGGACTCAAACCCAGTATTTCTACCACTAGATTTCCCACACACTCACTTTTGCACCAAACTGCTTTTCAAAAAGAAACAACTTATTAAGTGCTGTAGGTAGAAGAACTATTCTTATCTCTATACAAAAAGATAAAAAGATGGAAGATAAAAAGATGGAGGCTTTGGGGGTAACTTGTCCAAGATCACAAAGATCCTCTGCACCACAGCCCAAGCTTAAAGCCACAGTTTTCAGGTTCTAAACTTCACAGTCTAGTATTGTAATATCAATTTTTCTTTAATGTGTCCAAAATGATACACTGCCAAGAAGCTGATTCAGAGCACGTTAGAGAAGGAAAAGTTTCAATATTCATTCTCCGGAAAATCTCAGATTACAAAGACCCCTGATTAGAAGGACCAGTCTGAGAAGTCTGGATTTTATCCTTTGATGCGTCTGGCTGTAAGTTATGCATCAACTCTTTAAACATATTATGCCAAAGATAGCAACTGAACAGCTTATGTTTTCATAGTAAGGGGGGGCTCTCATTTTATATTTCTGAGTATCACATTTTAAGTTCTTCACCTCTAACTTGGAAAAAATACGAAAAACTAATATTAAACATACTAACAGTTAAAGGTGAATATATACTAGACTACCATGCCAATAGTTTTTAAACAGTACCAGAAAAATCTCTTAAGACCAAGATATTTAAAAACAGTCTCTGAAAATAAACTCACACGTTATATATAACCATATTTTCAAATACAGACAAGACTCCAACTTATGCATGGCATTGTCCCAAAAGTTATGAGCTGGATATTAAATAACTTTCCCCACATAACATAATAAAAGGTGGCTAAGATTCCAAACAAGCCCACAGTCTTTTTTTCCTCTCCCATATTGGGGATTGCACCTAGGGCCTTTTATACCTTTCTGTACTTTCTTTAATCTTTTGTTTTTTAATTTTGAGACAAAGTCTCACTAAATTGCTAAATTACCTAGTCTGGGCTCAAACATGCAATCCTTCTTGTCAGCCTCCCAGACGGCTGTGATTACAGGCCTATACCATCAGCTCAGTACCACAATGCCATGTTTAATTCATAATATATCTAAAGATTTTATTGATTAACAGTAGCTCAATAAGCACCATTTCAACAGTCATAGACAAGTAATCACATCTTAAGGTGCTCAGTCCAGATTGGACAGGTATGAATAGGGAACCAATCAATGATTTCTGACTCTAATTAACTTATTCAATATTGAATGTCAATTACATAGTAGTATATTAAGAATACAGCAATCAGTAATATATTAAGGATACAAAATCTTACTTGGCATTCAGAAAAAAATAGAAGTTTTAGGAAAAATTCTACAATTCATTCAGCACATATTTATTGAGTGCTTACAATATGGCAGACAGGGTACTAAGGCACTGATGAACCATCTGCTCACAAGGAATACAAAACAGGATGGAAGCAAGAGGAAGGTATTTACAAGGAGAAACAATGCACAGAGACCAAGCTAAGTAGGAGTCAACAGAGGCCTGCAGAGGTGATACCTAGTACCAAACGATCAAAGTTCATTTGTGCACTGTTTGCTACCTATTACAAACATGTACCTAAGTGAAACAGAGGGTTCTCTGTAGATAAAGAAAAATATAACTTCTAACTTATCATAAAAATACTAACTCTAAAATATTTTAAAAATCTATTTTTATAAAGCAAAGAATAGAATATAGAAAGTCAAATACTAGCATACAATACTGTATGCTAGTATATCCAATACAATATATATCCTCATTTGAGTATTAAAAATAATTTATTCGCAAAAGGTAGTCTTACCTGTCAAATCAATATGCAATTTGCCAATGTCTTTAGCAATACTGAACTGATCTTTTGCTTTTCTATACTCATAATAATATAAAAATATATAAGCACATTCCAGATGAAACTGAATCGCCAAATATCGACCCGAATCACCTACAAATAGGTCTTCTAGTTTCAACACTACAAAACAAAAGATGAAACATTAAAAATTACAATGAGTAAGACAGTAAGTCTACAATATTGGAATATATTTTTATATAGTTCAGCTTTTAGCTCTGTGAATACCTGAAATGAAAATATGGGAGAATAACATTCTGGTAACACTGCATCTGAAATAAAATGATTGTTAACATTTGTTATATAGAATAAACCAGTACTATGACACACACTAGGTTACTAGGGAATCTTAACTGATCCCAAAAACAGAATTCCTGAAACAATATCCCGCGCAAGCCACCCTTCACATTATTTTCAGTAATAGGTTAATCAGCACTTTACAAAGCAGTCTAAAGAATGAACAATGAAAAAAGAGAAAATGCACTGCTAATAGTTTTCCCATCAATGAAGGTGAAAGAATTTATGTTTACTACATGCCTACTTTGCCTAGCACTGGACATTTTAAATGCTATGCTATTTGATTCTCACAGTAATGCTTTTGAGGCTGATACTATCTCTACCTAGGTCATTATAAAATTGGGCTAAAAAAAGAAAACTGAGCCCAGACAGCTTGTTATCAACTCAATTGTTAAACTGCAAAGTCAGGATTTTAATCCAACCTTGTGAGAGAATCAGGGAAAGAGGTTGGCAGGTAAAAATGTGATGCCACAAAACTTAAGTCTACTTCATCATCTAATAATCTGGCTGCTCTAACACATTTACAGTGAAAAACAGATATCCCTGCTTTGTTCCACCATGCACTGAAATTACAATGGGTCTGACAACCAAAACAGTATTTTTCTATATGCTGTCAGCCCTTCAAAGAGATCCTTAGGACTGGAAGAGAGTTAAGTCAGGATGTGCACGCCTCACCGCCTAGGGCGCAGAGGCATCCACTTCTCACTGTGACAACTCAGGCACGCAGATCAAATTCAGGAAAAGCCAGCCTAACAATATTCAATGCTCTTAGTGAGGGCTTCTTTTGTAAATTTTATTTTCATTTATTCTGTCCATTATTCCCGAGCACCTAACCCTTACTGTCAGAAATGTTAAGAACCTTGCAAGATCTCAGCATAACTTACAAGTAACACAATTTTGCTTTGTGTTAATGACAGTGATTTTCCCAAAAGGATCAAGATGCAAAAATCAAAGGCTGCACAGGTTGGTCAAGATTTGCTTTTCAATGCCTATAAACCAAGCATGTTGGACACTGAGACAGGAGGATCATAAACTGAGCCTTAGCAACTTAGAGAGACAGTCTCAAAATTAAAAAAAAAAAATTTTAATCAATAACAAAAATTTTAAATGTTTAAATTCTCTCTCAAATATCACAAAAGTTCATTTCTGCATTTAGCTCAGACAGGTCTAAAGGCTATAAAATTTGAACTGTCCTACTAACATATCAAATAAGTCACACATATGCCTGATGTTGATCACGTTTCTTTTCCTACCTATCTAAATTCCTATCTATCCATACAGGTATTATGGGTAAAACTGGTTTTTTGATCTTGTACTTCTGTGCTTTTTATGCATGTTAATGTGTTCAGAACTTAAATACTATAAATAAATAATGTATAGGAAGAGATCCTGGTTTTATTTTAAGCTTCATTCTTAGTAGTATGACTAATTACCCTCAATAAAAAACAGCTAAAAAACATGATTCAAAATTTAAATACAGAAAAATTAAAAATAAAATTTTAAATATATTTTTATGTTTATAGTTGTATGAGAACAAAATAACCAATCTTCAGAGAACAAAACTAAATGAAAATTGTAACCTTAGAAAATAAGCAAGCAATGAAGCTATACTCTTCTTCAAAGCCATCTACCAAACCTTAGGGACTTTATAGTTCCACTCTGCCATCTACGTAGAGAACAGACAAGGCCCAGACACATGCATAGTACGTAATCTAGCAGATCTCCATTCGAAGTTGAGAACTACAGAATTGTACCTTCAACATTAAAACAGAACTGTGTGCGCCATACAAAGAGGAAGATGTAAGGGAAAAAGATTTATAACCTTGGGGCTAGGGATTTAACTCAGTGGCTTAAGTGCCTGTCTTGCAAGCGGGCGGTCATGAGTTCGATTCCTGGTATCGATAAAAAATAAAAAAGTTAAAAAAAAAAGATTTATAACCTTATGTCAGCCTTCACGCAGATCTGTAGACCAAATCAGGCTATCTACTCTGGAGAAACGCAAAAAACAAATGTACTTCTAAAAAAATGCAACTCTAATCACGATTAAAATTAATTTCTATTGATAAACTTTAGCAAAAATAAAGTCACAAACATAAAAACTAACACACTAATACCTGAAACTTAGCAGAAAAAAACGAAAGGCAGAACAGATCCTCAGAACTTTAAGAGGTCGAAAAGACTTGATACAGTATATGAGATGTCTAATAGGCTTAGGAAATAAACAGAAATACTAACGAAGCATAAGAACCTACAGAAATCAACCAGATGCTGGATGTGGTGCTGCATAACTATAATCCCAGCACTTGGGAGGCTGAGGTAGGAAGATCGGAAGATTGCTGAGTTTGAGGCCAGCCTGGGCTATACAAGTTAGTTCAAGACCGGCTGGACTACAATAAGACCCCATCTCAAAAAGACAAGCAAACAAAAAAGAAAACAAAAGAAAAAAAATTGACCTGGTAAACCAGAGAAACAAAACAAAAATCCTTAAATTTCTTAAATTAAAATTCAAAGACAAATGAGCAGAAAAGAAAACTAGAAAACAGATCCAGCTGAAGTTATGCAAAAGATTACACGGCAAAACAAAAAGAAAAGTATCAAAGAATCTTGAGGATGCAGAAAAGAAAGCCAGACATGAAATATAGGAAAAAGCAGACAATAAAGAAAAGATAATAGCTAAGAACTTATCAGAAATGGGGGGAGACATCAAGTATAAGAACTCAAATTAAGAGGCCAGGTGTATAGCTCAGTGGCATGGTACGTGCCTGGCAAGTGCAAGGTCCCGAGTTCGATTCCTTTACCAAAAAAAAAATCAAATTAAGACCCACAAACGAGGGGCTGGGGATTTAGTTCAGCGGCATAAGCGCCTGCCTTGCAAGCAGGCAGTCATGAGTTCGATCCCTGGTACCAATAAAAAAGAAAAAGACAAAAAAAAAAAAAAAAACCCCACAAACGCAAAAAAGAAAACCTTAGAAATAGCAAGATGAAAAAGGCAGACTATTCATAAAAGAAGAATTATTAAAACAAATGACTTTTGAATGCCAACAATGGGGTCTACAGCTATATCTAGGCATCCCCCAAAACCTCATGCAGTCATAGGTGGGGCCTGTCCGAGGTGGCTGAACCTAGAGTGCGATGCTGGGATGAAGGATGCGATGCTAGGATTGATTCATGGTGCAATGTGAGGATTAAGGGTGTCCCACTCTGCCGAAGGGACAGAACGAGGGTCTCTGCTTATCCCTTGCTGCTTCTGCCCCTGCTTTGCCATGAAGGTTTTTCCTCTGTGATGCCCCTCCTATGGAGCTAGCCAACTATGAACTAAAACCTCTACAAACTACAATAAAACCTTTTCTCCTTTAACTCTGGGCATCAGGTATTTTGTCTCAGCAATGACAAAAGTAACTAAGCCAGGAGCCAAATGAACACAGAATTATAATTTAATGATGCTGCCTAGATCCTTTAGCTGAGATTCCAGAAAGAGAGGAAAATAACATCTCCAAGCAAAATATCAAGAGTTTATCACCACAAACGTGCATTCAAATAGATTTTACATAATTTTGAGTATACAAAGGCATAACTTTGGATATCCAGGCATAATCCCAACACCCCAGAGGCTGAGGCAGAAGAAACGCTGAGAGTTCAAGACCCTCCAAAGCTATGCAGTGAGTTCAAATCTACCCTGAACTACATAGCAAGATCCTATTCAAAAAATAAAACAATTTAATTTTTACAAACCATAACTTTGGAGTTTTACCACTTTTAAGTAGAAAGAATAATAAGAAAACACTCCCACAGGCAGACTGGAAAAGAGCCAAAGATCATAACCTAACACTGCAGTTTCAAACTTCAAAGTAGCACATTTGGAAAGTGTGGAAAGCAAGACGCTAAGTCTCTATAACAGCTTTTAAGAAAAGTTTATCTGTTTTTTAAGCTTCTGATTTAGAGAAAAAGTTGAAAGCAGTTACAAGTACTCAGAAGACAAATCTGTAATGTTAAGTAAGCCACTGATGAAGATACACACAACTTTGAAGAGTCTAGATAGGGAATTGGTGTGGCCCCATAAAGCAACCCACTCACCCAGCTGACAAGAAGTGGAATCTCAAAGATACTAACTAGACAAGCATAAAGAAACACAAAGAAATGTCTTCAGATATATTCTGCTCTACATGAAGTCAGAAGTAACAGCAAGTGTCAAAAATAATCTGAAATACATTTAAATCAAATAAGGAAATGAGGAAGAGTGGCAGTTGGTAACTCAATCTGACTATAACCAGAATCACAGTGACATTTATTGTCAAATGAACGTTTAAAATAGTAAATAGCCTGGCAAGCATGAGGTCATGAGTTCAATCCCCAGTACCAAAAAAAAAAAATTGTAAATAAAAAATTTGTAATTTCCTCAATCAATACATGGTTATTGAGCTATTAAAACTCAGAAGCCAGCTGACATATATGTCATAATCATCAACAAAATGGATCAAAGCTATCCTTTACCAAAATCATTCACAGTATCTTACTGTTCTTAGGATGAAGACTAAGCATGCCCTATTGTGCCCTAGAAGTCCTAGACCTCCATATCTCTCTCCCCACCCTCTCTGCTCCAGCCACAATGACCTTGATTCAGACCCTCAAATAAGTGACATATTTTCTATCAGGTCCTGCAAGGTTTAAAGTTCACATAAGGACTTCTTTCTGGTAACTAAGGAAGCAAAGTCCATTGTATATCACATTATTCACATACAAGATGCTATTTATCTGGCTTTACTATATGTCAAAATTCTTATCTGGAATACTAAGATCCCAAAACTCTGAAGTGTTTTTTGCAACCT